TCGCGGATTCATTTCAAACTGACGAATCGCGAATAAAAGATGACGTGAATAATAGTTGGTTTACAGTAACCTAAAAAAATTATATGTTGAAGCATTCCTTTTCATGATATGGGCTCTCAACTAAAGGTACAATATTAAATTTCTCTTCCAAAAGTAAGATATTGCCACATTATACTATAATACAGTTAAAGTTTGAGAGTTAATTAGTATTTACAGAGTTGTACATATTTTAAACAATTATAATACACACTTAATACCTATTATCCTTAAAATAGTTCTTGTTTTACATTAAAAACAAGATGTGTTTGTGAAACACTGATGCCCCCGTATGGCAGCTTATGGCGAAGGTTAAAGTTTCTCAATAGGAAGTCAAACTCCAGGTCAAAAGATAAAAAATGTTGGTACCCAAAGAAAGGTCTTGTCTCAAGGAATATCTTGTGAAATACGAAAGCCCTAGCACCAACTGTTGAAAAATTATGGCGAAGGTTAATTCTTTTTTAATAATAAGTAAAACGTCAAAGTCAAGGTCAAGTGGTGACCAAGGGAAGGTCTTGTCACATCGATACACATGTTTATGAAATGTGAAAGCCCTAGAACCAAACGTTCAAATGTTATGGCCAAGGTTAAAGTTTTTTCAAAGTAGGTCTAACTCCAAGGTCAAGGTCAAAATTGTTGGTATCCAAAGGAAGAACTTGTCATAAGGAATGCACATGTGAAGTATGAAAGCCCTAGCACCAACTGTTTAAAAGTTATGGTCAAGGTTAAAGTTTTTCAGAAGTAAGTCAAGGTCAAAGATGTTGGTATACAAGGACGGTCTTGTCACAAGGAATACACATGTGAAGTATAAAAACCTAGCATTAACTGTTAGAAAGTTATGTCCAAGTTTTTCAAAATTAATGTAGGTCAAACACTAAGGTCAAGGTCAAAGTTGTTGGTATCCAAGGGAAGGCCTTTTCAAAGAGCACAAACATGTGATGTATGAAAGCACTAGCTCTAACTGTTCAAAATGTTATGGCCCAGGTTCAAATATTTTCAAAACTAGATCAAACTCCAAGGTCAAGGCTAAAGGGTCAAAGTTGTTGATATCCAAAGAAAGGTCTTATCACAAGAAATACACATGTGAAGTTTGAAAGCCCAAGCACCAATTGTTCAAAAGTTACGGCTAAGGTTAAAGTCTCATAAAATTTTGCAAAAGTGGGTCAAACTCCAAGGTCAAGGTCAAATATGATGTTGGTATTTAAGAATGGTCTTGTCACAAGGAATACACATGTGAAATATCAAAGCCATAGATCCAACCAATCAAAAGTTATGGCCAAGGTTAAATTTTTTCAAAATTAAAGTAGGTGATAATCCAAGGTCAAAAGGTCAGTTGTTGGTATCCAAAGAAAGGTCTTGTCACAAGGAATACACATGTGAAATATGAAAGCCATAACACCAACTGGTCAAAAGTTATGGCCAAGGTTAAATTTTTTCAAAAGTAGGTCAAACTCCAAGGTCAAGGTCAATGGGTCAAAGGTGTTGGTATCCAAAGATAGATCTTGTCAGAAGGATTACACAGGTGAACTTTGAAAGCCAAAGCACCAACTGTTCAAAAGTTATGGCCAAGGTTAATGTCTCATAAAATTTTGCAAAAGTGAGTCAAACTCCAAGGTCAAAAGGTGCGATCGTTGGAAGCCTATATGCCATTATTATTTTGGTAATTCTTATACTAGGTCTGATAATAGCGTTCGTGCGGAAGAAACAACTATTAACTGTTACATTCAACAGACAATGTTTTATCTTGTGCGCCTCCCTAAAATTGTCAAAGCGTAAATCATAGTTTCGTCGAGAAAATGTAAAAATAGCTACTCGGTAGACCTCATTCTTACCCTACAAAATCTCTAGAATCCAGAAGCTTCCGGGGGCTTCGCTCTGTACCCATTGGGGGCCTCAGGGGGGCCCCCAGACCCCCAGCCTACTTTTTGCGCCCACCCCCCAACTTAAATTCCTGGATCCGCGCATGTTGTCTCCAAAGATTTTTTTTCTCGATAGGAACATGTCATACCAACTTGATTCGGTACGAATCTTCAGGGCGTGGGTAGAATGCATCACAGTCCTTGTTGAAACCGACAGGTAAGTCGAATGTGGTTGATTAATATAAGATTGATTTATGTTGTTTTATGTTCCATTCCAGAATTTTTCACTCATTTAGAGACGTCACCATATACCGGTGAAGGGCTATACTCTGAACTCATTGAACAGTGAGGTTTTATTGTGCCAACGCCTGTCCTTTATCCTTTCTGATTGTTTGTTTGTTCTAAGGCCCCTTCGAGAATTTTTTTACTCATATTGAGACGCAATCACTTCCTGATGGGGGCTGCAAATTTAGACCTGAATTCGGCACTTACGGCCTTTGGGAAGTGAGGGATCTTTTGCATGCCAGAACCTACTGCGAAACTGGACCTAAATTTAAACGATCTCATTAGAAGGACCGGTCTCCATGTCCGGCAGTGGCATTCGAAGCCACGACATAAGGATCAACTCCTTACTCGGCGACTCTAGAACAAACGCTGTAACCACTGACGGACTATCCTTTCCTGAAGATACAAAACTGTTTGTCTGGTTTCATGATTTATAAACAGCCACTTAAACAAATCAATACAAATAATTGATTACATTAAAAAAAAACAATGATTGATTGTATGTTGTTTTACGTCCTATTTTTCACTATACAGTGGCGTTTAACTGAATATACGAGTGGTGTGTATGTTATCTAGTACCTGGCTGCAGCCAGTGTCTGATCAAGGGATACAGCCGTCTAGTGACACGGCTTAGGACATGTACCCCGGATAGAGCCCTGTCCGTTATCTTGATTATAATTGATTGTGTTTATTATAAAGGGATAGACTACCCTAGACATATATGTATATATTGACTCGTTTTTAGCTCACCTGACCCGAAGGCTTTTCTGATCGAAAGAATCAGGGGCAGTAAGACCCTAAATATGCCCCAAACCCATATTGGACAAATTGTTATAAATATTAAAAGAATTATGATTGAATCACACCTTTTAAGACATATTTTGATGAAAAAACCACTTTTACAAGATTTTGGGGTCAAAAATACAAAAATAACACAATTTTCACTGATTTCTGGAAATTTTTAATAATTTTTTTTTCTGTAAATTTAATCAAAGAAATAAATGATGGATTTTTAATACAAATACAACAGAAATGATCTTAAACATGTGAATAGAAACTATTTTTTAGCTAAAAGTGGTAAAAAAAACTGAATTTTAATGTAAAACAGTTGTTTTTATGTTCAAAATCAGAGATACCTGGGAACTTTAATGTCTTTAAATGGACTCCACTTACAATATGTACTTTATGGTAAAAATATTTTAAATAAAATCCTATTAACTCTATCAAAAACTATAAATGAGAAAAAACCCTTTATATATTTTTGAATTCACAGAAAAATGTTAATTTTTCAAAGACAAGTACTATTTTATGTATTTAACATAAAAAGACATTGAATGCACAAAGTGAACAAACAAGAAACGTATTCAACTAACATTTTTAATAACAATTCATTAAACTTGACAAAAATAACAATAAGGGATTTCAGTTTGCATAAACAAATTCCAGAACTCCCATCACCCACCTATACTATTACCAAAAAGATCATAGAAGTTAAACATCACACTATTCATGCCTTATACACTACATTTACTCATAATATGATAATGTTTATCATCCTCACAATGTCATAACAAGAGGCCCATGGGCCACATCGCTCACCTGAGTAACTTTGGCCATGCTGTTCTTTACCAGATTTCCCCCCTTTTAATATACCTATTGTGTCCCGCCCTACCCCCAGGTGTCATGATTTGAACAATATAGAATCTACACTACCCCAGGATGCTTCTATATAAGTTTCAGTATTTCTGGCCCATTGGTTCTTGAGAAGATTTTTTAAAGATTTTTCCTATATATTTCAATGTAAAAATTGGATTCCCTATTGTGGCCCCGCCCTACCCCCGGGGGTCATGATTTGAACAATTTAGATTCTACACTACCCCAGGATGCTCCCACATAAATTTCAGCTTTTCTGGCCCAGTGGTTCTTGAGAAGAAGATTTTTTTAATGACCCCACCCTATTTTTGTCTTTTCTTGATTATCTCCCCTTGTAAGGGAACTTGGCCCTTTATTTTAACAATTTACACTCCCATTCACCCAAGAATATTTTGTACCAAGTTTGGTTAAAATTGGCCTTGTTGTTCTTGAGAAGAAGTTGAAAATGTGAAAAGTTTACAGACGGACGGACAACGGGTGATCAGAAAAGCTCACTTGAGCTTTCAGCTCAGGTGAGCTAAAAATGAATTAAGCATCAAAGAATTAGTTATACTAGTACATGTTTGTCTGAAAAGGTTTTGTAATTACATTGTACTACAAAAAATAACAAGTACTTGTATATAGTCATGTTAAATTAACAAAGTTCAATATGCGAATCAACACATTGCATAATAAACTATAATAGTTACTATTATCTGAGAAACATTTTGTGATGCATTATGCATTTTACATCAGTATATTAATTTTGATAATAATAATTCATGAAGTATAATCATATGATAATAACAAATCATTTCATTTGTCAAGGTATATAATTAATCTTTCAATATTTACAACTGAACTTATTAAACTCATGCAATGAATCAAATATGTTATTTGGATGTACAATGTACTATTTTTTAATTTCTCAATTATATAACAGATGTTAAGAAATCACAATTTAAAAATAAAAAAAAAATCACAGATACATAAAAACCTTTGCAGAATGATTTTATTGAGTAAAATAATGGAAAGTTAAAATGAATATAATAAAAATTAATTGACACAGTATTTCTTATAATTTAATAAAGATTTTAAATTAATAATCCCAATGTAGATATTAATAAATTCACAAAAAAGGAATGAAACAAATACTGGCATGTCCTTACCTTCATTTTAGCGGATAAAATCACATCATTTTCTGGGTTTCCAGCATTTAAGGGTTGTCTGTACTTTTTACAGAGAGCTGCAACCAAGCACACATAATCCCTGATGAAGGGTATCTGGGTATTTGGGACAACATTTTGCAAAAACTCCACTGTTTCAGTCGTCCATTCACCGACTCAACAATCCAACGGGTTTTGGTGACCAGTCTCGAAGTATTTGCCTGCAAAACATTAAAAAATATATATACATTGTAAACTGGGGTACAAAAAAATGTAATTACTCTTAATTAAGTGTTTACATTGTAAGCATGTCATATTACTGACTTTTATTATTAATATACACTATAACAGTGGATAAGATTGAAATATAATAAATTATCATAAGCTTCTTAAAAGAATATAAATGCTATATATTAAAGTTTCCATTTCTTTTTTCTTTTAATTTTGATTAAAAAAGAGTTTTAAATTGTAGTATTATGTGTGTGTGCATTTTTATACCTCATCTGTTGTGTGTTGTTTCTGGCCTTTTGGAAGAAAGGCAGGCATCTGGCATTTGATTCCCAAGCTGTCAAGGAAACTGATTGAGTCTCTGAAGCCACGGTCAACTACGAGGACATCCTCCTGATGCAGCCAATCTTTGATGTTCTCCATGTTGGACTGAATGTTGTGCTTCAGGATGCTCGCATCGTTGTTTTTCTGGTCTGCAAAATATAGTCCGAGGACCGATATTATGTAGCCGGTCGTAGACACTATAACCATTGGCTTGACTAGAGGTCGGTTTTTGTGCTGGCTGTATGACCTGCGCTGGAACCTGAAGTTGCTACTTTTCTGGATAAAAAATGTTGGTTCCATCCACGACTAAAATAGCTGGATTGTGTAGATCACTGCCAAACAGCTCCTTAGCAAGTGGTGTTGTGTGCTCCTGGATAATCTCTTCCCTTGAGATATGGTCAAATCCCACATATTTAGGAGTAAAAGTCTCAGAAAGTTCTCTCCTGGCTGTTGTTATTGCCCGTCTGACACCACATTTTTCAATGTTGAAGAGTGTTGATAGCATTCGATGGGAAAGACTAGTCCTTAATTTCACCAGTAGAAGAGCAATACAGGCTCTGATGCTGTTATTCTTCGTAGCTCTAATCGACTGCACATGCGACACTACATCGTCAAAATCTGCTCTGGAAATTCCTGTTAAATTCACATAATCTGCGTCAGAAAGGCCATTGCTGCTGTCAAAGTCTAATCTGTTTTTCTTATTTCTAATTGCTGCTGCTCTTATTGTCGAAATCAAAGAAAAAATGTCTGTTTTGTTGAAGTAGGTGGTGTCATGTACCGACCTGGAGCCAGAAGACGAGTTCTCCAGACATCTGATAGCATCATCTTTCAGAGAAAAGTCTGGTGCTAAGTGGGATCAGCAGCACCGTGCACCCGACAGCAGAAGGTGTCCTGATAAAATGAATATATGATGCCGTCTCTCTGCAGACAGGGTGAGGAGCCTTGATGTCCTCTTCTTACATATGACACAGGATGAGTGACTTTTTCCTGATGAAACTATGGGCAATGGAATAATGTTCGGACTTTTGGCATCTGATTTCAGAGACTTTGCCGGTGGTTCATAATCTTGCTCTGTTTCTTTTGAAGTTTTGTTTATGGACTTGTAGAATTTCGTATATCAGTTCAGGCATGTAACATATACATAGTTTTCACAATTAACAGAAAGTCCTAAATGTTGAAGATCCAGGCTTTATGAAACGTCTTTGATCAGCTTTGGTTCTTTTCCCACAAGATATGCAAGGATATTGTTTTGGACCATCTCCAGGCATTCTAAAATTAAAATATAAATATCAAAGTTAAATTACTATATATATTATGTATGCACATTTTGTCTTTAATTATGGAAGGAGGGGGGTTTACTTGTACAGTGTATATACATTTGCATGAGATTTTCTTTATATATGAAAGAAGGAAATAATTTATTAATGTAAAAAGAAAGAAACAAGCATGTGATTTTGAAAAATATTTTTTGAGTAATATCAAAATTATCATTTTCAGTGTAATTAAGATTTAAGTAAGAAAAAAAATACCAATATTACAAATAAAACTTAAGCGATAACTAATCTATTCACATATTAATGTATAATGCATGGATGCTTGTAACCAATATTTAACTAATAAATAAAGGTTAATGTTACCAGGTATAATATATAATTATTTCATTCATGAAATCAATTTAAATAGCAGTTTTATTAATTTACCTATTTGAGTTTAATGAATAAAAATCAGAGGCAAAGACATTATCGGGTACTTTAAATTAAAACAAAAAAGATGAAGCTTGTAATGACAAACATTTTTTTTTTATTATTTAAATGGTGATTTAAATCAATTTATAATATTCCAAGGTAATCTAATTATTTTTTTATTACTTACAAAAGGTTAATTTTACATTAATAATATTTTAATTAATTGGTTAAAAAACCACAAAAAATACATTGTCCCCACAAGAAAAATAGAAAGAATTTATATTATTTATTCTGCAAAGAACATTAATTAGATTTAGTGATGTTAGCTAATTTTAAAGAAACTAACTTTTTTTTATTTCGTTTTACAAAAAAAAAAAAAAAAAAAAAACAAACAAACAAACAAACAAAAAACCTCGTACCAATTTTTTTGATTTTTGACTGTTATAGCACACCATACATTTTGCACAGGTACCAGAGCAAGGTCCCTTGAATACACACACGCTAGACTCGGTTGTATTTGTACTCAGACAGAAAAATATGTTAGCATTTTATAAACACCAACATAGAAAGGTAGTATATTTATATTTTAATGCCAAATCGATTAAAAGTGTTATATAAAAACTTTCTTGCCCGATTACCTAACGTTTTGTATACAGTATCATCTCAGCTGACCATAACTCAGAGAATAAGATCCCGGCATACTACAGGCCCCTACAGCTTGTGTGTACATTTAACCAGAATAATTTTAATGACAAAATGGCACGTTACATGGATGCTATACATACTATATGCACTTATATATTTTTCGTATATGTAAAGATTTTCACAACTGATAAAACGCGACTAATCATGCAGATCAACCGGCCGATCGAGGGTTCATGAATCATGAATATTAGGCCCTAAATCAAAGAGAATCAATGATTAAGTCAACTTCTTATAATCTATTTTTTTTCTTTGAAAGAAGATAGCATGTTGTGTTCCTGTTTAATATATTTTAGATACACATTTTCTATTTTCAACTGTTTGACATGATTACCGTCCCCCAGAGTTCATGGAGTTAGCGGAGTCTGTCATGTCAAATCTTTTATCAATATGTTTGGGAGGGGATTTAATTTTGAACAATGCATGTAAATAGTGGATGCAAAATGAAAATTGTTCTGATTTTCAATTCATCCCTACCTGCTAAATGGTTAGAACTTCGATAAATCTACCGTCACATTGTCTGTTTTTGACTCATCCAACTTTGTTTACGTCTGCTGCTGTGATTTGAATATAAAAACCGAAACCGGAAGCGATCAAAATCGCGCCTCGAAAAACATCGTTTTATATATTTTTCATGGTGGCTGCATGCAAACAATAGAATGATATTTTGGGATGTAATTTATTGCGTCATTTTAAACAATCTATTAAATTTTTACTGTGTTGTTTGCGTGCGGCCGTATCTAAATCTTGTTTGGAATGTGAGAATTTGATGGAAATTTCTCAATTCCGGAAAAATCACACAACTTCACATAGTGATAACTCAACTACAAATCAAATGTTGAAAATTTTATTGCTATTTACATCAAACTGGACATCTCGTTATATGAAAAGTAAACCATCTTAACGATAGCACTGGTATAATATTGGGCAGCTCAATATACTTACTGCCTCTGATTCTTTGTCCGTTGCCTGTCGTCGTTGTCGTTAACTTTTCACATTTTAATCTTCTTCTCAATAACCACTGGGCCAATTTCAACCAAACTTGCCACAAAGTATCCTTGGGTAAAGGGGATTCAAGTTTGTTCAAATGAAGGGCCACACCTTCTTCCAAGGGGAGATAATTATGAATTTGTGAAAAATTACTGGCATCATTTAAAAATCTTGTTCTCAAGAACCACTGGGCTTGAAACTATGAAACTTATATGGAAGCATCCTCAGGTAGTGTAGATTCAAGTTTGTTCAAATCTTGACCCCCAGGGATAGGTGGGGTCACAATGGGCGATCAAAGTTTTAAGTAGGAGTACTTAAGAAAAATCTTTAAAAATCTTCTTCATAAGAACAGCAAAGCCATGATTGGTCATATTTATATGGAAGCATCATAATGTAGTGTAGATTCAAGTCTGTTCAAATCATGACCCCCAGGGGTAGGTTGGAGCCACAATGGGCGATCAAAATTTTTAATAGGAATACTTAGGAAAATTCTTTTAAAGTCTTCTTCTCAAGAACAGCAAAGCCATGATTGGTCATATTTATATGGAAGCATCCTCAGATAGTGTAGATTCAAGTTTGTTCAAATCATGACCCCCGGGGGTAGGGTGGGGTCACAATGGGCGATCAAAGTTTTACATAGGAATACATAGGAAAAAAATCTTTAAAAATGTTCTTCTCAGGAACAGCAAAGCCACAATGAGTCATATTTAAATGGAAGCATCATCAGGTAATGTAGAATCACATTTGTACAAATCATCACCCTCCAGGAGAATAGAGGGGCCATAACAGGGGATCATAGTTATACAAAGGAATGCAAAGGATATATCAATCAAAATTTTCTACTTAAGAACAGCAAAGCAATTATTTGTCATATTAATTCAAAAGCATCCTTATGAAGTATAGATTCAAGTTAGTTCAAATAAACAACCCCCCCCTCCCCCCGAATTTTATATTTTAACTTTTCAAGACTGAACTGATTTCTGCTTTTTCCTAGCCAGAGTGCTCAGGGCCTCTTGTTTAAATTAGCCTTTGTAATTAATTTCTGTAAATCTGATCATTTCTATACATCCCCCAGACAGGTCCAAATCATCGGACCCAGAACACGTAACAATACTTCATATGTGTATTCCTTGTGATCTTTCCTTGGGTAAAAATATTTTTGACCTTTACTCTGGAGTTTGACCTACGTACTTTTGAAAAACTTTAACCTTGGCTATAACTTTTGAATGGTTGGAGCATGGGCTGTCATATTTCACATTTATATTCCTTGTGAAAAGACCTTCCATTGAATACCAACAATTTGACCATAGAATTTGACCAATTTTGAAAAACTTTAACCTTGTATATAATTTTTGATTGGTTGGTTTTGGGGCTTTCTTATTTCACACATGCTTTCTTTGTGACAAGAACTATCTTTGGGTACCAACAATTTTAATCTTTTGACCCTGACCTAGAATTGAATAAAATTGACCTTCGCTATAACTTTTGAATGTTTGGTACTAGGGCTTTCATATTTCACAGGCGTTTTCCTTGTGACAAGACTTATATGAAGTACCAATATTTATGACCTCTGTATCTTGATCTTGGCTTTTGACCTACTTTTACATAACTTTAACCATGACCTTGAAGTTTGATTTGCATTTGAGAAGCTTTGGTCTTGATAAGCTACTATCCAGGGACCCTCGGAAATTCAAGAGGTTGGGTCAGGTGTTTTGGAGGAGTAAATTGTCCTGTTGACCGCTCATACCCCCCGTGAGACTTGTGTATTGATCAGGTAGACAGAATATTCTTTAGTCAAATTTAGTTTAAAACCAAAAGGTCTAACAGTTGGTATGAAGTCTGAGAATGTAAAAGATGGTTATCTAAAATATAATATGAAAGTTTGCTCACCTATTGTGGCCACACGTACCCTACCCGCGGGGCATGATTTTAACAAACTTTAATCTACACTACTTGAGGACACTTCTATGTAAATGTGACATGGCTTTGCCGTTCTTCAGTGTAGTTTTTCTTATATAATCTTGTGTAAAACTTGATCACCTTTTGCGGTTCCGCCCTAGCTTAAGTGATGATTGTACAAATTTGCATCTACACTACGTTGTAAACCTTTCACGTATTAATTTCCTATTTTCTAGCCCA